GGACTATTCAAAACAAATACTCAATATATTCATGGACAAATCTTTATTTTATTTTATTGAAAATACTTTATTACAAAATATGATTTTCTGTATATGAGAGACATAATATTAACTGAAATTTTGTGAAGATATACACACTATATTGAAAGTTAGAAGTATTAAATCTATAAAGACTTTAAATGAGTACATAGAGGTTGTGTGGTTGGTCAACTTGACCGAGTATGTGTTGAGAGAGTTAATTATGTATTATTTGTGTTTTAAAAATCATATTTGAAAGGTCTAATTATTTTTATAAGTTTAACTTGTTGTTGGCTGGAGTGTGAAAATGTATCAACAAGATGGCATCATTCTCATGTGCAAAGCATTAGTGAAACAAGTCTCTGCATGGGGGTCATCATATAATAATAAAGCCCCAAGTGCACCAGTTGACATATCTGCATAAATAATAAAAGACAAAGAATTGGAAAGGAAAATTAAGTAAGAAAATTAATTAATAAAATGAAGTAATGGAAAAGATAGAGGTGAAATTAAGCATATTAAAAAAACAAGTTTCAAAAGACTTCTATGATATGCTGAAAGGTATGTACATATTTCTTAATTTTAAACATTTCATTGCAGAATACATGGAGGATAATATGTAGAGTTTGTGATATAGTATAGAAAATGGAAAATTAATTATAAACATTTATCTTAAAAAACTTTGATATTAATTTAGGAGGTACTAGAGATTATGCAAATGAAATGTAAAAACTGTATGTAAAAATCACCTTGCAGATAAACTATTCACAGCCCTAGTGCAAATAACTACATTAAATAACAAATTTTATTAAGAAATAGTAGAAAGATAAAAATAAAATATTTTTTTGAAACTACAAACACTTAGGAATGTTCTTGTCAAATTTTAAACAATTTCATCCACTAGTTTTATTTTTGGAATGATATATGATGAGAGTGACATTACCTACTAATAAAATTAGAAGCTTGGGCCACAGAGTTAAAAAAAAAAAAAAAAAACAGGACTGTAACTGTTCACAAACATCTTTTCTTTTACTATTACTAACTTTAACTTTTATAACTATGTTTTGTTTCAACTAAACTCAAAGCCATATTGGCTTATACAGTTGAACTGAAAATAAATTGCATTACATATTTAAATCACTAGCCTATGACTCTTTAAAGCTGAGATACAGTAACTTACAAAACACAGAGACAACTAAGGTTGATATAAAATGACTGGCTAAAACTGATAAAACTACACTTGTACTGAAGTTTGAAATAAATTTCCAACATTTTGTTCAAAATTCTCATGACTTTTCTTTTTGGGGACAACAAATTCAGAAAATTCATAAATATTAATGTTTTCATTCAGAGCATTCTGAAATCAACTCAAAATAAAAATTTGCAATTTTATAACATTTTTATGTACAAAATTGTATAAATAGAGCTTTGTTATTAAATAACTTTCAACTCTGAAATATTTTTAAAGAACATGTGAAAGGATAACAAGTTTCTTTTGTATAAATATTTTAATGTTGACATTTTGTATCCCACCAATTGCCACAGAATTAATAGCACAACTGTACACACAGCTTTTTTACACTTATATGAAAATACATGTATTGTAATAACCCTTTTAAAAAATCGGATTGGAAAAGCATGGGAAATCCTTTAGATAGATCGGTATAGACAGCGAATGTGGAGACTGGTTGCAGGCTGAGGTAGGAGGTCCTATAGAGAGGTAAGTATTTATCCAAGATACATTTTCAGATAAGAAAAATGTTAACTTCAGAAATGCTACTCACCTCTCATCAGAACTGATAGCTAGAATCCCATTATAAGTCATAACTGTCACTATTTTAGCTTGGAAGAAGAAGAAGCCATCCAAGCTTCCTAATCATATCTTCCAAACTGTATTTAGTGTAACAAGTCTTTTGAGACGTTTTCAATAGATAGTGATTACACATTGCACATTAATTCAAATACATTCTTCTTTCAACTGTTTATGCATCAGAACATTCTATGTGACAAGCAAAAGTATCAATGTACATAACTGACTGACTACAACAGCATAAATAGCCAACAGCCAAGAATGTAATTTTTCATTATATTGGTGCCAAATCGATAGCCTACCAATATGTCTGTGTAATTTTACTGCAAAAATATGATGCAATATTTCACAAAACATCAGATACATGAAAGGAATGAGAAAAAAATAATCAGCTTTTAAAAAAAAATTACATTTTGTTTATAACATAATACAACTCATACAATACCTGGTATATAAGTTGGAGGAGTTGATGGTAAATAGTTTGCAGCTGTAAAAGCTGTGCCTGGATAAGAAGGATATGGGAGACTCATACTAGGGTGATGAGCAACTTGTGGATAAGCTGGGGCAGTTGGGTTGCTGGCCCCATATCCTGGATATTCTGCATAAAGAAATATACAAAATTAAACTAATCAGATTTTCAGATTTATACCCAAGATATCATACAAATTATGTATACAAAAAATTAAACTGTTTCAGAAATGTATAAAATATTACATTTAAACCACCATTTCTTCTAATTTAGGTAGGATCTTATTTTCAGAATAATTACTTAAGTAAAATTAAAAAAATACACATTATAATGACTATTTCATTTGTTATTAATAAAATTAAAAGTTGGGATACTGGTTTTCTCAAGGCAATTTCACAATTTAAAGAACTCAGTATAATTGCTACATGCAGACCTGCCAACATCAAATTTTGAAAAATTGTAATCCCTAGCAGGACAAGGAAAAAACAGAAATGGTGTCACTATTAACTATATTTTACTCAATACTTACTAAATGCAGTGTACCACTAATTAAGTGCCCTGTAAGTAGCACTCCTGGCTTTCTTTAGAAAATCATCTGTAAATTCTCAAGAGAAACACAGTTTTTGTGCCACCTCTACCTTCATTATCAGCACTGATTCTAAGGTGGAGTTTGACATTAATCCTTAAAATTCTATCCTCTTTTTGCAAACAAGTGAGAAAACCATCTCACAACCTGCATTGCTGTGTAGTATCACAAGGATATACTAAATTACTTCAAAGAGTTTATCATATTCAAAGTTGCCCAGCTCATCTTTCAGTTTTCCAATACTATACCAACACTTGTCTGCTGGCTCACTGAGATCTATACCAGTCAATGGATCAGCCTGGTAGGTGAGAAGATGCTGCTGACGACAGCTTATTGTACTGGCCCAAGGTGCATCCCTTAGAATGAATGGCTTGAATTTTCCAACAAAGTACTCTAATGATTCCAAAGAACAACTTTTTCTGACAGATATGTCTGCTACTTCTGCATGTTTCAAAGTTGTGATGTAAAGTGGAAACTTGGCCTTCATATATTCCAATACAGTTTCATAGTAATTTCTTACGTCTTCATAGAAAAAGAGTTGGCTTTCTTTGTTAAACTTTGCAAGGAAAGGCTCAATTACATAACCAATTACAAAATTATCATTTTTTAAATGAAGTTTTGTCTTTAAAATTTGTCCAAAATATTTGAACAATTCAAAATTGCATGTGATGTCAAAAGTCTGCTTAACAAGTCCTTGAATAAAGCAAACAGGATTCTCTGCAAGCAATGGATGAGTGGGTCCTCAGACTATAGTTTCAAATTATACTTGTCAAAGACTTTGGAATACAATTGTTCTGAAATAATGCATATATAACACATCTTCTTGATGTAAGTAACTTAGAGTCTGCAAATAAGTGTTTCCTGGTATTTGGTGTCTGGTGTGTTCTGTACCTTCTCACTTGACTTGGCAATTTTGTCTGTTACTTTCTTAGAGGAACCATCCATAGAAAATCCAGATCCCTGTCCAAGAAACACATTGACAGACTGCATCTGTTTGAAGTTTTTCTTTGCATTTTTCTAAACAATCACTCTTTTTCTCCACTGACACCTCTGATCTGCATGGAACATACTTTGCCTTCATATGGAATTTTTGTTTTTCATCTTTTTTCTTTTCATCATACTTGGCTGCAAAGTACTGCTTCAAAGGCCTCCACTGCTCAATTAACCTCTGTAAGCATTTTTCATAAGACAGCCAGCATGTGCACACATGCTTCAGAATAGCTATAATCTCCACATCACATAGATTCTGGAATTCTCTAAGTTCTTGTTTCTTATTTGTACTCTTGTCCAAATAGTAATAAATGTCAACAAAAATTCCATCAAACCGATATTGCAGCTTCTTTGCTGATTTTTCTGCTGCCAAAGGAATGGGGTGACATAGGCATCCCCTAATAAACATTTCAGGATTAACGAATTAGTGTATTTAAGTGTTTTACACTCACAAAAAAGAAACCTATCATTGTATAGGTATTTGAAGAACTTGTAACATTTTGCTACAATTTAATTCTTCGTATTGTTAGCCAACACTTGGCAGCTTGTATTATAAAGGCTTGGTTTGGTCCGATATTTCATTGGTGGTAGTGTCCAGGGTCACTGATGAGGAGTG